TGGCTCCAGGGCTGTCCGCGGTTACAAGCCGGCATCAGGCAGGGTGTCTTCATCCCCGATGCTGTTAGGGAAAGTTTTGGGATGAGGATATTTGATTCCCAAACCATCGTCTTCCCCTCTTTTTTGGATTTATTTTTGAACCTGCGCAGAGTGCCAGCTGATGAAGACTGAGCGGCCTCGGCCCAACACCTTCGTCATCCGATGCTTGCAGTGGACGACGGTCATCGAGAGGACCTTCCACGTGGACTCTCCTGAAGAGCGGGATTTTTTTTCGCTTCCTTTGAGAATCCGGGATAAATAGCGCATTGTGTTGATCCTAGCTGGAGGAGAGCCCCAAAATCTCTCAACTGTGACCCCCATCTGCCTGCAGAGGCTGGAGGGGCAGGCACTGCCCCCCTCGGTGATCTTCACCACCTTCCTGTGCCGCCAATCCCCTTTTTCTCCTTAGCGAGGAGTGGATGCGAGCCATCCAGACGGTAGCGAACAGCCTGAAGAATCAGGAACCGGAGACGGACACAATGGATTACAAGTGTGGATCTCCTAACGACAGCACCAGTGCTGAGGAGATGGAGGTTGCCGTCAGCAAAACCCGCGCCAAGGCCGTAAGTCATCCCTGGCGCGGCACCGTCTCTTGCCGCAAGTGGGATTGCCGCGGACGGGGCCCGCCCCACGATAGTTTGGATTGCGGCGGATGGGGACTGCCGAGCAATGAGGGAGGTTTATGGGGTAAACCTCTTCCCTGTGGTATCCGCTGTCACTGGGATAATTGTGGGTGAAATAGCTGGGAAAACCCTTTCTTTTCCTGAATCCCACTTGCCTACACCACAAACTCTCGCCTCCGTCTCTTGTTTTCTCCCCAGACCATGAACGATTTCGATTACCTGAAGCTCCTGGGAAAGGGTACTTTTGGCAAAGTCATCTTGGTGCGGGAAAAGGCCACTGGCCGCTATTATGCCATGAAAATCCTACGGAAAGAAGTCATCATTGCGAAAGTACGTGCTGAGCCCCGACGGAGAGTGAGGGGAAGAATCAGGAGCCGGCAGGGCTTAGGGGATCGTGGAATAGTTTGGGTTGGAAACAACATTTAAAGATCATCTAATCCCAACCCCCTGAATGATGGGATGGCTTTCAAAACACACTTCCAAAGCTGCCAAGCGGTGGCCGGGTCCTGCTGTGCTCTAAATACTGGGCAATTCCAGGAATTATCCTTATTTGAAAACTCTGGGTGTGTAACATGCAGTTGGGTGACACCGTGGGATCCACTCGCTCGGGGGATGCGGTGTGGCCAGGTCCCCTTCCACATGATCCAGCCGGCAAACCCTTCGCTGCACAGGGATGAAAACAGGGCAGAGGCTGGCACTTCGAGCTCCTGTCCCTGTTGGGTTTTTTTCTGGGATTAAATGGCAGCAGTGACAAATCTCTGATTTTCCAGAAACGATGGGGGATAAACGGTGCTTAATTTCTCCTCCCTTTACAGGACGAGGTGGCGCACACTGTTACAGAGAGCCGGGTGCTGCAGAACACCAGGCACCCCTTCCTCACCGTAAGTACGGCTTCTGGCAATGAGGGAGCAAAGGGGCAGCGCGCTGGGATGCCCGATGCACCCCAAAATGACCCTTCCCTTCCCCTCACCACCTCCTCTGGAAGCGCAGAGCCCCGCAGCTTCTCCAAGATCTATTTTTTTCCCCTCTTGCAGGCGCTGAAATACGCCTTTCAGACAAACGACCGGCTGTGCTTCGTCATGGAATATGCCAACGGCGGAGAGGTGGGAGCTTGAGTCCCGACGCTCCCCCTGGGGCTTGGAAGGATCTTGTCCGCACGTTAAATCCCTGGTTTCAGCTCGTTAGCAGACAATTTATTCCACAGTCTCCCCTAAGCATGTGTTTCCAGAGGTAGAGCACACAGCTCTCCTCGCCCATCTTCACTTGCCTTCCTCATGCTCGATATTGGAGCATGAAGCAACCATCTGGGGCCCTCCTCTTCATCACCTGGGGAGCTGTGGACACCTCAGCCCCTCCAGCCATCACTGGCACCGTTACCTTCCACCGCTTGTGTCCAGCTTTGTTTCTGCACCCCGACACGCTTTCCTTGCGAGGGGGGACGCAGCCAACGCTGCAGCCCCTCTCGCAGACAGTGCCCAGCAGCATTTTCCCCTCCCCAGCTCCCACCGGCAGAGCAGAAGGGGAACCATCGATATTTTCACCACTCAAGGCGAGGAGCTTAGGACACATATGACCGCATTAGCTGCGTGCTGAGAGCGATTAACCCGGGTTTTGTGGGCTTTTTTTTTTTTTATTAAGCGCTTGTTGATCAACTGGGTTTTTTTAGTTTGTTTGTTGTTTTTTTTTTTCCCCTCAAGCTGTTTTTCCACCTCTCAAGAGAACGCGTCTTCACGGAGGACCGAGCCCGTTTCTACGGTGCAGAAATAGTCTCTGCGCTGGAGTACCTGCACTCCCGGGATGTGGTGTACAGGGACATTAAGGTACCAACCCGGCGGCAGCAGCATCCGTAAGCGGTACCTTTGCCCCGTGTTAGCGCCAGCGCAATTTTAATCTTCCTGGGCTCATGTTCGGGGGTGTGGAGTCACTCCCAGCTCCCCTAAAAATCACCCTGAGAGGCCTCGAAGGGTTTCAGCCAGCAGAGCGTCACACTCGGTTGACGCAAGCCGCCTTTCTCCGCTCCCGCTCACCGTGGGTGGCGAAGAGCCGCTCTCCGCCCGGGGCTGGGGTTGTTTTCGCACGCGTTGCTGCAAGAGGGAGGGCGGGAGCTCGGCTTCAGCAGAGAGCGCCTGAACCTGCCCTGCGGGGAGGCATCACCTTCGTCCCCATCACGCGGTGACGGATTGAGACCACAGCCATCTGACAGAGCCTTTTGGGGAGCAGCATCCTGCTCCCATGCTCCCAACTTTGCTCAGCTCCAAACTTTTTTTCCCACCTGTCTGCTTTTGGTTGGTATTTTTATTTTCAGTTGGAAAACCTCATGCTGGACAAAGACGGCCACATTAAAATCACTGACTTTGGGCTCTGCAAGGAAGGCATCACGGATGGAGCCACCATGAAGACTTTCTGCGGTACTCCTGAGTACCTGGCACCGGAGGTACTTAAAGCATTTCTGCAGCCAGGCTTTCCTCAAAACTCTTATTCCAAAGAGTTTTTTCTGTGGAAATTATTCCCAAATTCCAAGATGGCAGTGGTTAAGCAGGGGCTTTTCCAAACACTTGGGTTGTATCTCGAGTGGGTTTCCCTTCTCCCTCCTCATGTTTTGGCCTCGTTGGCACCATCCTCTCTGGTTTTTCCCCGGGCAGGTCTTGGAGGACAACGATTACGGCCGTGCTGTGGATTGGTGGGGCCTGGGGGTCGTCATGTACGAGATGATGTGCGGTCGCCTCCCCTTCTACAACCAGGACCACGAACGCCTCTTTGAGCTGATCCTCATGGAGGAGATCCGCTTCCCTCGTACCCTCAGCCCTGAGGCCAAATCCTTACTGGCCGGGCTGCTCAAGAAGGATCCCAAACAGAGGTGAGGGGCTGCTGGAGATGGAGGGGGGTGGGAATCACGGCGCTGACGGCAGTTCCGAACGCACCTCTCTGTGCCTGCAGGCTCGGTGGAGGTCCCAACGATGCCAAGGAGGTGATGGATCATCGTTTCTTTGCCCCCATCAACTGGCAGGACGTGGTTCAGAAGAAGGTGGGAAGGGAAGGGAAGGCTTTGAGGGGGTGAAGGGGGGGGCAGGCGGGCATTTGGCACACTGCCGGCGAGCCAATTTCTCCTGGTCTCCATCAGCTGGTTCCACCATTCAAGCCCCAAGTGACATCCGAGATCGACACACGGTATTTCGATGACGAGTTCACTGCCCAGTCCATCACCATCACCCCACCGGATCGCTGTGAGTGCCAACACCGCCCAGAAAGGGGAACCCCCTTTGTCACCTATACCCCCTTCTTGTGTGAGCCCATTTCTCTGTCGCCATCGTGGCGGCGGGTGTCACCAGAGGGGCTGATGGCCTTGCTGTAACGCCTCTATAAAATCTCGGGGTCCCTCTCGCTGCCCTGGAGAGGTCTTGGTGGCATCTCTGCCGCGGGAGGGAACGGAGAAGTTTGTGAACACACCGGGGCGGAGGGGGCTTTGTCAGCGTCTCCCTCACCCTCAGACCTTCTCCCCGTCCCCGGTTTTGCAGATGACAACATGGGCTCCCTGGAGAATGACCAGCGGACGCACTTCCCCCAGTTCTCCTACTCCGCCAGCATACGGGAGTAACCGGCAGCAGC